AAAAAAAAAAATTAGCTGGGCATGGTGGTGGGTGCGTTTAGTCCCAGCTACTTGGGATGCTGAGGCAGGAGAATGGCTTGAACCCAGGAGGCAGAGCTTGCAGTGAGCTGAGATCTTGCCACTGCACTCTAGCCTGGGTGACAGAGCGAGCGAGACTCTGTCTCCAAAAAAAAAAAAAAAAAAGGACAACGACAACAAGCAACTTTTGTTTTTGTATTTCTTTTTTCTTTTTCTTTCTTTTTTTTTTTTTTTGAGATGGAGTTTTGCTCTTGTTGCCCAGGCTGAAGTGCAATGGTATGATCTCGGCTCACTGCAACTTCTACCTCCCGGGTTCAAGTGATTCTCCTGCCTCAGCCTCCCAAGTAGCTGGGATTACAGGCATGTGCCACCACGCCCGGCTAATTTTTTGTATTTTTAGTAGAGATGGGGTTTCTCCATGTTGGTCAGGCTGGTCTCAAACTCCCAACCTCAGGTGATCTGCTCACCTCGGCCTCTCAAAGTGCTGGGATTACAGGCGTGAGCCACCGCGCCTGGCCTTTCTTTTTTGGTATAATCCAAAATACCTAAATCCAGTTTAAGCATCCACAACTATACATGTTTAAATACAAAATTAATTTGAGATAGGGGTGTGTGTCTGGGGGTGGTGGGGGAATGTGAGAGGTAGTATAGAATGAAAAATAAGTTCCAGTTATTAGTATCTCTTGAGTGGGACAGTTGGGACATCTGTCCTGGAAGGGCCGTGGGGATGGGTTTTCATAAAGAATGAACCATGGGATGTCCACAGGAAATGAATTTTGCGTCAGGCTTGAGGGAAAACTCATTTGAAGCCTAGAATGCTCCTCTAGAGTATCAAAATGAAGGAAGAAACTTGTAAGTAAAACTTATTTTTGTCTTTTGAAAGGCTTAATGAGTGGCCCTGTGTGATGGCTCATACCTGTAATCCCAGCACTCGGGGAGGCAGAGTCAGGAATATTGCCTGATCCCAGGAATTCAAGACCAGCCTGAGCAACACAGGGAGACCCTGCCTCAAAAAAAAGAAATTTTTTTTTATAAAGGCTTAACAAGTTTAAGTTACGGAATGAAAAAAATTTCAATTAATTCAATGGTAGGCTGTCATGAAAACAAAACAGATTTCAATTAAGCAAGAAAGGGATGTGAAATTGAGAGGCAAACAAAAAGGAAAAGGGGCTAGTTAGTACAGCAGTCACTGGTTTATCTGTATAGAGAGGGAAAACTATTTTTCTCTCAACCCTCATTGGTTCTTTTCTTTTTTATTTAAATTGAGACAGGGTCTTGCTATGTTGTCCAGGCTGGTCTCATACCCCTAGGCTCAAGCAGTCCTCCTGCCTTGGCCTCCCAAATTGCTGAGATTACAGGCATGAGCTACTGTGCCTGGTCACCTGATAAATTCTTAATTGGAATAGATTCCTGTAACAAAGGACAGATTAACAGGAGAAGAACAAGGTTATTTCCTGGAGCAGAGCATGGAAGATGTGGGTGTTCAGTGAACTTCCCGAGTGGCCAAAATGGTTGTATAAATAAGTTCTTTCAGTTTATATCAAGTCATACAGCTTCAGCTTATAGGGCTTTGGGACAAGAGAAGCTAGAGTCTCAATAAAGATCCCGGCAGTCAGGTTTTAGTTCCTAGTGACTTCAGGTCAGGAGGGTGGGAGAAAAATTGGAAACATTAATTACTGACAAGATATGCAAGACAGCAGGATCCAGTTTACAGAGTGGTGAAAAATAACTCAGAGACAAACAACAGAACTACAGTCTGATAACCCAGACTGGTTATAGTTTTCTATTGAAATGTAAAATTTCTGGCCTGATGTGGTGGCTAATGCCTATAATCCCAGCACTCTGGGAGGCTGAGGCGGGTGGATCACTTGAGGTTAGGAGTTAAAGACCAGCCTGGCCAACATGGCGAAACCCCCTCTCTACAAAAATACAAAAATTAGCTGGGCATGATGGCAGGTGCCTGTAATCCTAGCTACTCAGGAGGCTGAGGCAAGAGAATTGCTTGAACCTGGGAGGTGGAAGTTGCAGTGAGCCGACCGAGATCACACTGCTGCACTCCAGCCTGGGTGACAGAACAAGACTCTGTTTCAAAAAAAAAAAAAAAAGGTAAAATTTCTCTGTACAGTCATCCTCAGTTTGATCAAAGATAAAAGTAAGACTACTCTTGTTTACAAAACAAGTGTAATCTTATTAAATTTGGTCTAATTATTTATATAAGTGCAGCAAGAATGATAATTGAACATATGCTTGATCTTAGGTTATCGTTTTGTTTTTGTTTGTTTTTTTGAGACGGAGTCTCACTCTGTTGCCCAGGCTAGAGTGCAGTGGAGCTATCTCAGCTTACTGCAACTTCCTTCTCCAGGGTTCAAGCGATTCTCCCACCTCAGCCTAAGTAGCTGGGATTATAGGTGCATGCCACCACGCATGGCTAATTTTTTGTATTTTAGTAGAGATGGGGTTTCACCATGTTGCCCAGGCTGGTCTCAAACTCCTGAGCTTAGGGGGATCCGCCGACCTTGGCCTCCCAAAGTACTGAGACACCATGCCCAGCCCAGCCTAGTTTTTTTTTTTTTTTTAAATTTTCATTCCCATTTTACAGATGAGGGTTATCAGTTTGGATGCACCTATTAGCTTCTCTAGTAGGGTTCTGGAAATTCCTACTCAGTCCAGTGGTATGATTTCAAAGTTATGTAAGCAATGTGATGAGAAATCTCTACACTAGAGTACCTATATAATTCTTTCCATGGATCTCTGAGGCAGTCACTTATGTTGATTATGAAGCATTCCGGCTTGTAGCTGATTGTGAGCTTTCAGGGAAGCATTTGAATGTAAGAGTAATTATATGTAAATGACAAAAGACCTACAATGGCCATGGTTAAAGATTTTATTAGAGTTCATTATCAAAATAATGGAGTTGACAAAGAAATTTGGTTGTTTCTGTGCCATACAACATTTTAAGATAAAAACTGGAATTATGATAACATTATATCAGAATATATTATGGACAGTGAGTGCATTGACAAATTTCTAGAAACTTCATGTAGTTGTTTTAAAAAGCAGACAGGGTCTTGCCTTATTGTCCAGGATGGTCTTGAACTCCTGGGTTCAAGCGATCCTCCCGCCTTGGCTCCCAAAGTGCTGGGGTTTTAGGTGTGAGCCACCACACCTGGCCTTCCATACAGTGTTTGGAGTACTTATATTAATAACATTTTCTCATACAGATATGAACCCAAAATATGAGATGGGGTCTTAGTCAATTTGGAAAGTTTATTTTGCCAGGGTTAAGGACCCGCCTATGACATAATCTCAGGAGGTCCTGATGACATATGCCCAGGGTAGTCTGAGTGTAGCTTGCTTTTATACAATTTAGGGAGACATATCAGTCAATATATGTAAGATTTACATTGGTTTCATCTGGAAGGGTGGGACAACTTGAAGTGGGGGCTTCCAGGTCATACGTAGATTTAAACATACTCAGATTGGCAATTGGTTGAAAGATTTATTGTCAAAGAAAGGAATGTCTGGGTTAACATAAGGGGTTGTAGACACCAAGGCTTCGTCCTGCAGATGAAGGAAGCCTCCCGGTAGCAGACTTTATAGAAAATAGATTTTAAATGTTTCTTATCAGACTTATAGTCTGCATTAATGTTAGTGCTGGAGGGGTATAATTACCCCCACTTCCCCTTCATGGCCTGAACCAGTCTTTCTGGTTAAATTTTAGAGTGCCCCGGCCAATGAGGGAGTGCATTCAAATGGTTGTGAGAGCCTTTAAATTTTCCCCCTTTTGACCAAGATTTGCCAGAGGCAACATCAGTGGCTACCAGATTTTAATTTTGTCCCACAGTGGGCACAGTGTTGCTGGGATGGCATGGCTGCCTGCCCCTGGTCTATCTTGTCCTTCCCTATGACCGAGAAACTTAGAGTGAACAAGACTTATGGCCAATTAATTATTCTAAGCCAGATAGGAATAGACATGGACAGGCATTCATTACCCTTTAAAATTATTATTAATTTTGTTTTTTAAGTAGAAGGTCAACAAACAAAAAGCCAAAGGTGAGGTTACAAAACCGACTTATTTTTAACTTCTATACTATGCATTGAGCCATAGCTCAATCTTGTTTTTAGTTTTAGTATGTAATCTTGGTTTTAGTTACAGACTTATAGCAATTAGCTATACTAAACAAGCGTTGTTCTGAAAAAATTTAAAAAAATATGTATATCTGTACAACTCATACCCAGGAGGTTTTGTCGTAAGGTATCGTTATCCTGTCAGTAATTATTTTCTTCTTTTACCAGCTGTTCAGGCATCTTTGTACACATCCTTGATTTGGAGGGTCTGACCTTGACCTAATTGTATCCCTCAAAACTTGCCCTTACACTCTCATGTAACAGTCCCTGGGCCTAGAGGGAGGGTGCTTATATGGTCTTAGTAGTAAGGCATTTGCGGTGAAAAACAGATTGGGCCCAGTGGGATTGTTGCAGGTGGTTAGGCATGAGCTGGGCAGCAGAGAGAGCTCTCCTCTACCAACTAGAATGTCGGGTAGATGGTTCAGCAATTATCGCATTGCCTGTCTAAAAATGATAATTTGGCAGCACCAGGGAGAGGCCATTTCCTGATGGTCCACACCTGTTAACATCATCAAACTGTTAATTGAATGCAGGACCCACGGAGGAGCAACTTCCTGGGCATGCATGTTGAGACAAAAAAAAAAAAAAAAATTGGTGAGATATGATCTTCCGGGGGGCACAGGAAAAGGGAAGGAAGCCTCAGATGGGTGTGCTTATAACTCCCTAAATACATTGCGTGTGTTCAGTTCCAAAGGATAAGGAAAGCACTGGGCAAGTGGAAAGCCCGCTCTAAAGGAAGAAACATGGGAAAGAGGCGAGCTTATAAAATTCCTAGGATCACGGTTGAACAGGGCACTTGACCTTTTCTCTTTAACCTTCATGTGCCCACTTGGGTCTCTTCCAAGCACACTTGCTTTCCTGTTCTAAGACCTTTTCAAATAAACTTCCATTCCTGCTCTGGAACTTGCCTTGGTCTCTTTTTCTGCTTTATGCCCCTCAGTCAGATTCTTTCTTGTGAAGAAGCAAGGACTCAAGTTGCTGTGGACCTGTACAGATTTGCCGCCGGTTAACTTGGATCTCTTCCACTGGTTAACAGGATGCCAAATGAGAGAGGTTGGCATCTCTGGTTTTGAGAATACCATAATTTTGGTTTCCTTTTAAGTAATGAGAAATAAGTAACATTAATATTGTGACAATCAAAAGAGTATTTGTATGTCAGAACAGAAAAGGGAACCTCTTTCATTAGGGCACCAACTAAAGATATGAAGAAAAATTATAATCTGGTACTCTCTAGAGGATTATTGTGTCCAAGAAATAATTCATAATTCAGTCTACACTCAAAAAAACAAAAGTTAGTGTCAAGTGTTATACTTTTCCTTTGAAACAGTTTCTCTCTCTAGACTTCCTTTTCTATTAAAGAGAAATTATAGTAAGATCAATTTGTATGCAAATTAAGTTTTAGGCTTATTATACTTTGCCTGATTATTCACATAAAGTGCAGCAAGAATTGATTGGCTTGGCCAGGCGCGGTGGCTCAAGCCTGTAATCCCAGCACTTTGGGAGGCCGAAGAGGGCAGATCCCAAGGTCAGGAGATCGAGACCACCCTGGCTAACACGGTGAAACCACGTCTCTACTAAAAATACAAAAAAAAAGAAAATTAGCCGGGCCTGGTGGCGGGTGCCTGTGGTCCCAGCTACTTGGGAGGCTGAGGCAGGAGAATGGCGTGAACCCAGGAGGGGAGGCGGAGCTTGCAGTGAGCGGAGATCGCGCCACTGCATTCCAGTCTGGGTGACAGAGCAAGACTCCATCTCAAAAAACAAAAAAAGAATTGATTGGCTATATAGGCTCCTTTCAAGTTGACTTTGCTGAACTTTACCTAAAAATATACTATTTTAGTCAAAGTCTTGGTAAAATAACCAGTGTCTCCAATTGTTTTGTTCTAAAAGACTCTTACTGAACTTATGCAAATTACTATATTTTCATAAAATCACAATTTAAATTTTGGATAACTCAGAGAGAAAGGTAAATTTGCTTACAAAAACATATTTCACCCAAATGGTCTAAACTATAAATAACTATAAAAAATTTTTTTGGACCATTCTTTAACCAGAGCAGCAGCCTTCCAAACAAGATGTTTGTTCAACTCGGAGCTGCCATTCACAAGCCAAACAGGTCATGGGAGCTATCAGGTACTGTAGAATCTAGCAGCTCCTCAGATAGCTAGAATCAGTACTAGGGACAAAAAGAGGGTCCTTGCTTGTGAGTATCTCCTTCTTGTATTCCCAGGTAGCAAGAGCCTGTGTAAACCATTTTAATTTTATCGTGGAAGTCTTTTGAACACCTTTATTTCCATTAGCATAGGGGTAGCTCCAGCCAACATCCCATAACAAGGCAGTAAATGTCCCTCAAGTAGAAATTCTCTAGTCCAGCAGTTGTTATTGGGAAGTACTCACAGTTTTTTGTCATAAGTCCCAATAAATGCTCCACAAAAGGCTACAAAGTGGAGGATTTGTCCTGTCTAGTACTCCAGCTTCTCCCCTATATTTTGTGGGCTAAGGCAATCTTTCTAGTTCCCATTTAGTAAGTTCAGTTAATATTTGTCAATAAGCAGATTTACCTGCCTTCAGTTTTATAGTACTAGATAGGGAAAACATCCCCCAGTCACATACAGTACCCATTTTCATAAGACATTTAGGTAAAAGGAGTCACAACTACCTTACATAAAGTCTATTTAAACATCTCAGATTTCTTAATTCTGTAAACCTGTATGTTTTAATGTTCTGGTCCCGGGAACTTTTCTACCCCCAGACCATTTTACCTTTTCTGGTAAAAAAAAAAAAAAAAAGTGGGGGGGGTTTGGGTTCCCAGCAGGAAGTTGAGCCAAGGGACTCAGGCCTTTTGTCAAATTTTTATCTTAATTTGCCTCAGCATTGCCCCAGACAATGTCAGCTTTCTCATGATAATCTTTGCCTTCTGATTTTTTAAAAAACATTTTCCAGTCTAGGGCAAATAGTGAATAAGCATCCAAAAATTTCTATCACTTTTCTGGGGTGAATTCTTTGACTCCCTTTTTCCTTTCCCATTTTTTTTTTTGCTAATGACCCCCATTTTTTGTTTTTTTTGTTTTTTGAGATGGCGTCTCACCCAGGCTGGAGTGTGGTGGCGTGATCTCTGCTCACTGCAACCTCTGACTCCCGGGTTCAAGCGATACTCTTGCTTCAGCCTCTTGAGTAGCTGGGATTACAGGCACTCGCCACCATGCCTGGCTAATTTTTGTATTTTTAGTAGAGACGGGGTTTCTCCATGTTGGCCAGGCTGGTCTTGAGCTCCTGACTTTAGGTGATCCACCTGCCTCAGCCTCCCAAAGTGCTGGGATTACAGGCATAAGCCACCTTGCCTGGCCACGAGGTGTAAGCATGCGTAAGACCATGAGGGACAGCAAATTTGATAAGGCCTCTCAAGCAGTCATATGATTCTGTGGGAAGGGTACCCATGTAAAAGGGGCCCTGTTAACCTCCAGATTTACCATGACCTGCGTTATGGACATATTAGGTAGGAGAATATCCCGGTCATTATAAAGCCAGTCCTATGTGGCTTGCATATGAAGCATATCAACTGTTTCATCTGTGGTGCTCCACTTGGTATTTTATAGGGGGAGGCAGGAAGTCCCCTTCTGTGGGCAAACCTTACAGTGGCATTTATTTGGTCCACTAGGCTGGTGGTTCTCTCAGGAATAACTTCCTGTGCATTTGGATCACCTACATTCATCAGTGATTGTTTAATAGTGAGCTGTGGGTCCTGCATTAACCCAAACAAGCTCTTTCATTCTGTAGCATTTAAAATTAAGGATTTTGTCCTTAAAATGGTCATTTTTACAGTCCATTATTATAAAAGTTTCTCCAGAAGCTGATGATACCAATCTATGAAACAGAACAGTTCCTTTACATTAAACCCTCTGGTTTTAATAGTTACTTGGTTTTGCCCTTCCCCAATATTGACTATCTTCTTGGTAACCACAGGCCTCAGAGGTAACTTTATTTGCCCTGGCATACTTTTTCTTTTTATCCATTTAGTTTTATTTGTACAATTTTTCCTTTTTTTTAAAGTGACGCTTAAATGGTCTCTTAACTAGGGAAAAACTTACATTTTCTTTAGCAAAAAACACATCCTTGTATGTGTTTGTTTATTTATTTTTGAGACAGTCTTGCTCTGTCACCCAGGCTGGAGTGCAATGGCATAATCTTGGCTCACTGCAACCTCTGTCTCTCAGGTTCAAGCAGCTGGCCTCAGCCTCCTGAGTAGCTGGGATTACAGGCATGCGCCACCATGCCCAGCTAATTTTTGCATTTTTAGTAGAGATGGGGTTTTACCATGTTGTCCAGGCTGGTCTCGAACTCCTGACCTCAGGGGAACCACCCACATCGGCCTCCCAAAGTGCTGGGATTACAGGCATGAGCCACCATGCCTGGCTGTTTGTTTGTTTATTTTTGAGACAGAGTCTTTCTGTCACCCAGGCTGGAGTGCAGTGGCACTTGTGATCTGCCTGCTTCGGCCTCCCAAACTGCTGGGATGACAGGGGTGAGCCACTGTGCCTGGCCTTTTTTTTTTTTTTTTAATGAAGTTTCACTCTGTTGCCCAGGCTGAAGGGCAGTGGCGTGATCTTGGCTCATTGCAACCTCCACCTCCCAGTGGATTCTCGTGCCTCAGCCTCCCAAGTAGCTGGGATTACAGGCATACATCATCACGCTCGGCTAACTTTTGTATTTTTAGTAGAGGTAGGGTTTCACCATGTTGGCCAGACTGGTCTTGAACTTCTGACCTCAAGTGATCTGCCCGCCTCGGCCTCCCAAAGTGCTGGGATTACAGGCAGGAGTCACTGTGTCCGACTGTTAATTTATGAGTACTCTTTATCTTTAAGCCAATCTGGTACCTTGTGGCCAAAAACACATAACAAAGTATGTGTACATACACCTAAACACATATATATACACTCATGCAAAGTTCTTGTAGTTTATGCTTCAGAACTCTAGCCATGAGATATTAATAGAGACTTACCAGTTTGCAAACAATAGCAAAAAGAGATGGTTGGATGCAAACAGTGGATTTTATCTCAGTGGAAAAGTAACAGCAGACTTAAAGCAGGCTGAAAAAAAAGCAGAGAGATAGAGAACTTAGGAACTTTATAGTTGCAGATTGACCTTCGGGCTCTGCATTTTTCTTGATGTAATTTGCTCATCAGTTTAAAATGTGCACAAGAACAGACCTCTAATGTGTAACCAGCTGCAGTATTAGAAAACGTGGCATGCTCTTCCATTACACAACCACTTTCAAGTAGAGGGGTCATAAAACCAAACAGGGTGCCTGAGAGAGGCCACTCTCCTTGTGTTTTTTCATTCCTAGATTATTTGTTTCCCACATTTTTTCTGAAAAGGAGGAACTGAGCTGTGCCTTAAGGTTTAGTGGAGTGGGTCAAAGTGTGCTGGTTGTGGGTGGGACTCCATAGTGTGTCACCAATGAGTCATTTCTGCCCTTTTATGTGTCTCAGTTTCTCTTTCTAGACATCCAGCACCACCAGGAGGGCTCAAAGTGAGGAATGAGGCTGGGTGCAGTGGCCGACACCTGTAATCCCAAACTGGGAGTCCGAGGCAGGTGGATCACTTGAGGTAGCAGTTCGAGACCAACCTGGCCAATATGGTGAAACCCCATCTCTACTAAAAATACAAAAATTAGCCAGGTATGGTGGCACGCACCTGTAATCCCAGCTACTCAGGAGGCTGGGACACAGGAATTGCTTGAACTCGGGAGTCAGAGCTTGCAGTGGGCGGAGATCCTGCCATTGTGCTCCAGCCTGGGCATCTCAGCAAGACTCTGTTTCAAAAAAAAAAAAAAAAAGCAGTGACCAGCTCCTGTATGTACGTCCTGGATAAGAATTTTTTTAAACTAATTTTCTTGGGAGTTCCCTGTAGGGCTGCTGCACGTTGTAGGGGGTCAACCCTGCAGACACTTCCACTTGGTCCCCAGTCACCCAGGGTTGCCTTTCGGTTGGAAGGAGCAAAATGCCCTTTCTTTTTGGAGTTGAGGAAACTCAGTCTGTCATCTATGAAAATGACAGTTCAGTTCCTCACACAAACGTGCACACAAGCCAATCAAGATTAATTTCAGGAGGAAAGGCAACAAGACGACTCTTTAGAATGCACTCCTGGGCCAGGTGTGGTGGCTTATGCCTGTAATCCTAGCACTTTGGGAGGCCAAGGCAGGTGGATCACTTGAGCTCAGGAGTTCAAGACCAGCCTGGCCAACATAGCAAGACCCTGTCTCTACAAAAAGTACAAAAATTAGCTGGGTATGGTGGCACACATCTGTAGTCCCAACTACTCTGGAGACTGAAGAGGAGGATCTCTGGAGCCTGGGAAGTTGAGGCTGCAGTGAGCCATAATGGTGCCAGAGGACTCCAGCCTGGGTAACAGAGCAAGACTCTGTCTCAAAATAATAATAACAACAACAATAGTAATGATAATAATAGGAATGCACCTCTGAACTAGAATTAGGATCCTAGACAACAACTTCCTGGGAGCTCAGCTAAACCAGCTAAGACCACTTCATGTAAACCATTTTCAGCCACTCTTAACTTTGTAGCTCTCATCTGCCATTACACATGCCAAAGCCAAATCCTCTCATGGTACAAGGTAATTTCTGGTATCTCCAAAAGTCAAAGAATCAGGTAGTGCAATACAGGAAAGCAGAACCGTAGACCTAAAAGCATCTGCCCATTACTCTTGAAAACTCCATAAAGAAAACACAACATCCCAAAAAGCGGCAAGTGGTGCCTTTGTTCTGACTTCTTTAAGGGGTTCGGGTTAATAGAAGGCTTCTCTAGATTTTTTTTTGGTAGCAAAGATGGGGAAGGGGAAGGAGGAGTAAGAGTAAGTTGGAAGAAAAGACAGGAAGCAAAGACAGAAACCACGTGCATGGTTTTATTTTGCTTTTCCTTTTTGCTGCTGCAAGGAGTTTTAGCCAATTCAGATGTCTTGTTCCCCATAATTGGAATTCTCATTCAGATCTGGCCAAGTTGGTTAGAGTTGGAGCTGGTCAAACCCGATGGGAGAAAGACCAGAACAACAAAAACCCAACAATATGATTACTGAGTGCTCTAATGGCAAGGCAAAATTAAGACCAGCTGATCGTTAATTGTAACTTTAGCCAAATGAAAGCCCAATTCACCTACTTACCTAGGAATGGGTCTCAGGTGGAAGACTGCTCTCTACTATCCCAGAAGCAGGAAAAACTCAAACTCCAGAAAGGAGTTAGCTGCTGTCACGCGCGTCCGTGTGAAGAGACCACCAAACAGGCTTTGTGTGAGCAACATGGCTGTTTATTTCACCTGGGTGCAGGTGGGCTGAGTCCGAAAAGAGAATCAGCAAAGGGAGATAAGTGTGGGGCCGTTTTATATGATTTGGGTAGGTAAAGGAAAATTACAGTCAAAAGGGGCGTTGTTCTCTGGCGGGCAGGAGTGGGGGTTACAGGGTGCTCAGTGGGGAAGCTTTTTGAGCCAGGATGAGCCAGGAAGAGGAATTTCACAAGATAATATCATCGCTTAAGGCAAGGACCGGCCATTTTCACTTCTTTTGTGGTGGAATGTCATCGGTTAAGGAGGCAGGGCATTTGCACTTCTTTTGTGATTCTTCAGTTACTTCAGGCCATCTGGGCATAAACGTGCAAGTCACAGGGGATGTGAAGGCTTGGCTTGGGCTCAGAGGCCTGACATTCCTGCCTTCTTATATTAATAAGAAAAATAAAACAAAATAGTGTGAAGTGTTGGGGCGGCGAAAATTTTTTTGGGGGTGGTATGGAGAGAGAATGGGCGATGTTTCTCAGGGCTTCTTCAAGCGGGATTAGGGGCGGCGTGGGAACCTAGAGTGGAAGAGATTAAACTGAAGGAAGATTTTGTGGTAGGGGGTGATACTGTGGGATCATTAGAAGAAACATTTGTCATATAGAAGAATGCTTGGTGACGGCCTGGATGCGGTTTTGTATGAATTGAAAAACTAAATGGAAGACACAAGGTAAGAGAAGGAGAAAGAACAGGTATTGAAGGACTAAGAATTGGGAGGACCTAGGACATCTAATTAGAGAGTGCCCAAGGAGGTTCAGCATAGCCTTGCCAGCAAAGATCATTTATTTACTTTAAGAGGAAATTTAGAGTGGCGGTTTGGTATAGCACTAGGGGATACCAACTGTGAGGGCTTGGAGAAACAGTGTAAACCGGCAGTGTAAACATGAGCAGGGCATTTATGAGTAGTTGAGAACGGTGAATAGGAGGAGTAAGACTAGACAGAATACAGTAGGGATGAAAGTTTTTTGGGGTGCAGTCTAAGTTGGTCTGGTGTCTGGAATGAGACTGGGACCTAATGAAAAGGAGTGTCCACACAGGAGCTCAAATGGGCTGGAACCTGTAGCATTCCGAGGACAGGCCTGAATTCTGAGAAAGGAAAGTGGTAAAAGTATTGTCTAGTCCTTTTTAAGTTG